GATGTTTTAAAAATCCACGATGCACGATACAATCAATGTCCGTCCGTATTTCGATTCGTTATCCATATAATAATTTCACAAAAATAGACTAATAATCCCTTAATTGTATAAATAAGTCCATGAACAAAATAACTTTTTTTTTACTTTCAGCAAGTGTTAAGGCGTGTTCTACACATGAAGTGGCTTATTATATAACTATTTCATCAAGATTAAAATATCAGTCTGGTTAAAAGCAAGTCGTGCTTGAAATTAAGTTGTGTTCAAATTACACACATAATATGCGGAAAAAAACCCATACAACATAATATACATGTATATAATATATTTATATGTCAGTAATATGCTATTTGTGATAATATTACTGTATAAGAATGGCAATTTGTACATACTGCGAACATTGATCAGCACATTTCCAATGTATATTAATATTTAATATTAAAATCTTCGTAACATTATTTTCTTTGCTGTTCCATAATCTATGATTAAACTGACAACGAGAAAGCTTTTCATTGGCTGAAAATGTTGTGGCAATACGAGCCAGCCAGCTGAAATTTGTTTCATAATGAATTCACCAAATTCAGGTCGCACGATCGACAAAAACAATATTGCGATCGAAATCCCACATACCAAAAGTCACAAGTAAAGTATGGAAGTTTTTAGGATTTCCCGTTAAGCATGACAGCAATGAAATCCGTTTAGTTGACCGAGAAAACACCACATTTAAAGTAAATCACAAAAGTAGGCATTTTTAAAATTTATTTCCAATATCGCAATATTAATCGTATCGTAGACTATGAATCGTGATGTGCATCATATCGTCGCCTGGTGTATCGTTGCAGCCCTAAATTAATTAATAATATAAAATTGAGATTGTTTATGCCTTACTTATACTTAAGCAGGATCGGCAAGCTTTCATTCAATGTATTACGAAAATGCTTAATTTACTGACATAAAATTGAATGCCGTACGGTAATTAAATATGAAAAATAGCGAAGTTCATATATTTTTATTACGTACAGGATGTTAATATTTTGTTGACATGTGATTTTTAATTGTGGTATGAATTTGTCTGCTTAAATAACGATAAGAGTTACACCAATTTATTTCGGTAAAAAGTCTGACAAGAAACAATTTTGAAATCCCATCACTGTACATGTATCAGACAGTTTAATACAGGTTTTCCGGCATTCATGTTTGATGTGTCTCAATATTTCATTGTTGTTGAAGATTTTGTCTTACTCATTGGTTTTAATCTTAAACCCCTAACCCTGAATTTATAGGTTTTAATCTTAAATACCTGACCCTAACTATTGAATGTAAAAGTGATGGAAATAGAAAAGAGCGTCGGATCAAACATGATCGCCGGTTTTCCCTTGAGGCATGCACTAACTGTATAGCCAAACTGACAACTGTCACATGTATTACACTGTTGACGTTGTTACATTGTCAAACTTGGATGTCTAATACAAATTAAGTCCTTTATTATGCCATATAAAATCATTGCTAAATGACTGGTAAACTTTAAGGACGAAATTGTTGAAGCAATATTTCTAAACCATTTAAGCATGTATCATATTTCTAATGAGACTATCTCAAATACATGTTTCTCTCTGCTTGATTAGAATTTATAAGCAATATTATTTCTGCATGTACATGTAGTGTTCATGAAATTATTAGCTAAAACGAAGATTAAATTCAGATCAACAATTTAATTTTGCAGATAATTTCACAAATATAATCAAATAACATACAGAAAGAAAGACGTCTTTATTACACCTGCATCTGCCAGCATCACATACAACAACATCAGACATATCTTCAATCTGAGTACGGAAATTTGTACCTAATTATCCCCTTATTGGTATTATCACATCTTTTCTAAATCTTTGAAATACTAATCATGTTTGTGTTTTAACTTAAATGGCAATACATTACATACATGTAACTTTTACACCTGCATCTGCCAGCATCACATACAACAACATCAGACATATCTTCAATCTGAGTACGGAAATTTGTACCTAATTATCCCCTTATTGGTATTATCACATCTTTTCTAAATCTTTGAAATACTAATCATGTTTGTGTTTTAACTTAAATGGCAATACATTACATACATGTATCTTAAGGCTGTGCAAAAATATCGATATAATCGATAATCGGTAGAATTTTATTTAGCGATACGAAAATCGATATTGAAATTCAAATATTGATTATCGGTATATTTACCTTCTGAGGGCAAGTTACGGTCACTTTCACATGACTGAACTTGCCATAGTCTGGCATGCAGACGAATGAACGAATACACAACGTCAACACAACAACTATTTTCCCCCTCTGCTTACAAACTGGCACATTTTAAATATATATTATTGTAAAAAAAAAAACTAAACTTTAAGATTAAATACATTATTTTAATATTTTCGTTGTTTTTGTTGTTATTACTAGTTGAAACTAAAATAGGTCACCCACTTTGTGAACAATGACGATCGCACGTGATATAGTAAAATTAGAATTATCTCCCTTCTTTGCTCTTGATTGATTTGTAGAGAAATTGTCTGCTTTCACGATAAAACTAATTGTATTATTAATGATCAACTCAGCTTTTATTACTAAATCATGTCAGATACAGCCCATACAAAACACGTTTTTGACTTCCCGGGAAAATAACTATATCTCTCGTAATTTCTTGGAAGAATTCTACTTTGGTTTTCGTCAAAATTAACCAATCATAAAAATTCTTTGAAAGCCGGTAATTATTTTTTTATTGTCCAATCAATAGACGCCTTCTATTATATTTTATTCTATTATTAGCAACACTGTGTGATCGCCAGTAACTTGCAAAGAGAAACCATGTATTGTCTTTGTATTTATCGGAGATATTGGAATAAAAAAAAGGTTCAAATGAATCAAGAACAAAACTTAGAATAATACTCAAGTTAATCCTACATTTAGCAACTAATTATTTTACATTAATTGATTCTTTTACGTACATCGGCACAGTATTAGACTATGATAATAACACTACTGTAACTCGACCAACACAAATAACAGGTCGGTAAAGTTCGTTTTTTCCGGAAGAATGATTGATACCCGGTAATCGATTATTATCGATAATCGCTGACAAATTCTTGCCGATAATCGATATTGAAATTTCATATCGATTCCCAGCCTTAATGTATCTACAATTAAATATTTTTAGAATGAATAAATCAATTGACTGGACTGTCTGAGATTGACTACGTACGTACAGAGTACAGACCATACATGTACATGTAGGTACAATGTAAAAATGCATCTTCTGCTACAGTACATGTAATTATTACTATTACGGTACATGTAATTATTACTATTACGGTACATGTACATGCTAGAGGTTATCAAACTAAAACTAATTAAATCCCATGAAAATAAACACTGTGCATAAATTTAAAGTTAATTTGATGATAACTTTAACCATGTGGACAACGGACAGACAATGGTGAGGACAATAGGATTCTTCATCTCATGACATGAACATAAACCCTTTGTATATAGGCTACATTTGTAAGTTTAATCTGCTGATAACTTTAGAATTGTACACGACAGACCAATAGACAGACGGACCAAAAGACGAGGGTTATGTCCAGATAAGTGAGATACAACAATTAATAGAACACATACTAAATAAATAAGTAGAGATTTTAATAGACGTGTTGTGCCTACATGTCTATTGAATTACAATAACTGATTAATGATTAATTTTTGAACAGTGATCAAGAAATTAAATACTTGTAAATTGGACACTCATTATCAAAATTAATCAGTCAGCTTTAAACTGGACACATGAACAAATTAGATGATTTTTGGTGATTTTAAACGATTTTTACAAATTTTTAAACAAAGATTGGATATTAAACGAATGTGAAAGAAATTAGTGCTAGATACACAAGATTAAACGATACCTGGGTGTGATCAGACCTGCACCACTTACAAGGGAAAACCATGCTGGAAACCCTGTAGAAGTATAGTGGATGTGACCTTAAATGTCATGTCATGTAATGTAATACAGTGGTACAAGAAGGCTTTAACATTACTGTTGTTTCAAGTACTTAATTGAAATGTATATCTACATTATAGGTGAATATTTGCTGCGTGTGGTGAATACAGGTGCCCGTAACGATTCTAATTTTATTAGCACATATATTTGAGGCTGTGGACCACATGTACATACACGCCTTTATTTTGACTTAAACAGTTTTGTTTATTATGTATCTAGTACTATAATGTAATGATGAGACTGGGTCAGTTTATCCTAAGGTATCCTTTATTGAATGACAGGTCTATACTGGCAAAATAACCCAACCTACTCCTGACCTAGGGTCATGTCTGTCAGAATGTCTTGTCATAGTTTCAGTCCAACAGCCATACATTTCTTTCAGACATATACTAGTATCTTTCATACTTTAATAATAGCCTTCGGCAATTTTCTCTTTCTCTATCAATGTAGTTTAAATGCACAAAACAAATGCACCATTTCCTTGTCTATATTTACAATAAATTACCTATTCGCCCCGGAAACACATTTAAAATATTTCAAACCAATGTTTATTTTGGGCACTGTGTTTGTATAATAACGATAAAGTCTTATTATCAATGGAAGAGCTGGCTTAACCAGCCCAAATCAGAAAATAATTTTACATAGAAATCAACAACAGACCTGAGATAAAAGTACTTTCCAGCTAAACCAGAAAATTAAAATAAAATAGGCCCTAGATGTAGTGTACTCCCCACAATGCATATTGAATGTTTTACCATCATGAAATGTGAAACCAGATCTATAATATTGTTGTAACTGCTTAAACGTCTGACTCGCTGGAGTGTAAATCGGTCAAGGTTGCCGACATATTTCTTTGGTCTCTACCAAATAAAGTTGATGATAAGGCTGTGTCATGGACAAAGAAGTCTTTGAACATAAAATCAAAGATCATAAGTGTTCGAAATACTCATCTCCAACATACCTGCATATGTAGAATATGTTTTTAATCAATGACATTCATAATCCACCCGTCAAGTTGATGTAAGAAACACCGTTATTGCTTTTACCTTCATGTAAGTCCAGCAAAACAGACACAACCAGTGTTAACTCGCGAGAAATCTCGAGAAATCTCGAGACCGAACGTTGGGTGTTGTGCAGGCAGATTAAATCGTCACAAGTGATGTACCGTTACTATTAAAAAGGCTTCGCGCTTGTTTCTAGGGGGTGGAATATTTTTAATGTAACTAAAACTAAATGGCTAAAACACCCACTCGTTTTTATCGCCAATGTCATGCAAAAGCAAAGTGTTCGAATTTCCAGCCCCTAGTAAGGATTTCTGCCAAATATTAAAGGTGTAAGGGAAATAACTCTAACTAAGCATTTGGGGGCAGACCACCATTAATTACCCATTGACTTCAATGTTAATCTGGCCTCTTTGCCCACCTCCAACTTTTCACCAAATTTTCGTTGGGCTGAATGCTCTTCACTACAGACAGAGGAACAAATGGTCATGTCTTTGCACTAAAATTTGTATGAGGTTGACCACCAAAATTTTGAGATACACAAACTTGAAGAAGCATACTAAAAACAGGTAACTAGTTGCCGTACATATCGCCGTAGCCAACCTGATAACCCCGTTATCCTTACGCCTCAAAATCATGGATATTCACCAAAACTTGGCAGAAAATGTTAATTCAAACCCTCTTCGTCCATTCTAGACCCAAAAATCAACAAAAATGGGCATATAAAAGGGGAGAATAGAGAGAAAGTGTGAGAGAGAGAATTGCTATAAATAGACGAACTAGGCGTACAATCCTTGGGTACCGAGATGGTGAAGGTGAAACGAGATGGTGAAATTTAATTAATGGTGGTCTGCCCCCATTTGATCTTTGTCCCTATCGTACCGGCGCCGTAATTATCTAGTACCGGTACTATAGTAACTTACCTATCCTCCCTTCATTTCAAAATTAAAATTATCCCCCCCCCCCCCCGATAGATTCACCACAACCTGACAAAAATTGTAAAACCAAACCCCATCTTCGCTGCTACAAGAAAAACTGAACAAAAATCGTCACGCAAGAGGGGAATGAATAGAATATGGTTTAACGCCCTATTTTTCTGCTCCACCGGCCACACGCCGAAAATTTTACCCGGGCAGCAATAGAATTCAAACTGTCAATGTGTCTTTTACGAGCACGCCAAGCTGTAAATATGGGAGCTCAGTTTTTTCTGTCCCATCCGAAACACTAGGCATTGTTCCTGGTCAGCTAGGCCATCCGCCCTGCACCGATGGGCGCCGACAAGTGGGGTTGGTTTGTATGTAGGCCTATATGTGTATATATGTACATGTAATGAATCGAGATTTTGCTGTTTTGTGGGATATTTTACCGCCCCTCCCCCCAAAAAAAATCATTTAGAACTGGTATAAAGGTAAAGCTTAATGTGAGTTTCACTTTTTTATTACAAGCGACACAGAAAAGAACAGCAATTGTGGATCTAGTCTATCTAGAGCCATAACGCCTCTAGATGTCACTTCCCCGACATCTCAAGATTCATTGTCAACAGAATAGTGATAAAGTTGTTATTATCAGCTCTAATAATGTTTGACAGTTATTGATTAGCTATAATAAGTATATATTATTAGCCATGATTATTACGATAATAACATAATAATAAGACGGTTTATAGACGCCAAATTTCACTAACCATTTGATATCCGAAATGAATAAATACACGTGTGATAGGCCTACCAATCTTTTTAGGATTAACTTTAGATAAAATTAACAAACAGGCAAACATTATCTTAAATAGCCACATTAACCATCCTATATACTAAATTAATATGATCATTTTCAGGATTAATTATAAATGAATTTGGCGAACAGACAGGTCTAAACACACTGCGTGGGTGGGGAATGAAGCACCCTAACCATACTAATAGTAGGACCATAGTCAGCTTACACCAAAGGCAACATCGCCCCCTCCCACCGTTAATATCTATTTAATTTGAAAATTTTAAGACACCTTGCTTTTAGGAAATCCCACATAAGATAAGATTATTGTAACATACCGTTTTATGATGGACAGCATACAAAATTAAGTTTACAGTTTAACAAATAACATCTATACGATGATCAATTATGGCTGTACAGTGTTGTACAGCAAGTCGGTTATCATATAACATGTAATTATGAAAAGGTTGTTCGAATAATGGAAAGTAATATATGCCTAGAGCTAATAAAACGATAATTTTTAGCCTAGAGATGAAAGATACTACAAATGCATATCTATCTGGATAATCAAATAAAACCGTCAGGGGTGGGGGGGGGGGGGGTTAGAATAATTTAAGGAAGTCGGTTCACGAGCAAATCTAATACTCTTTCTTGACAACGTTTATAAATACATGTATATATGAAGTAACATGCGGATTGCCCTTGGAATTATTATAATCAAATATGAAATGGTATTCGTCTCTAGTAAATTTAATAAAATCCGAAAACCGGCATTGCTCATCGTAGGGAACCTTTGGAACCTTGAACGTATAGTTCATTGAAAAGCACTACCATGTTGAGTTTTTTTTTTAATTTACATCTCTCCGCGGAAACGTTGATATAACGACATGATTGGCGAGGCGCACATAAATCCAAGTGACATTGGTTGGGCGCCCCGTCAATCTCGTGATGTGGGCACGTTGGTCGTTTCCTTTGTATTGCGTCCAATGGAAAGAGCGCCTATGGCGCCCATTGGGGAAGAAATGGGCCAATCTCGTCGTGGGCGCCCAACCAATGTCACTGATGTGGGGTCGTTGGCTTCGTATTGCGTCCAATGATATGCCGATTTTTGACCCCCGAGGTGCCGTGGTAAACAAACCCTTCGCATTTGGAATTCGAAGTAAGAGTAGACCGTAGCGCCGCTGCCTGGGCAAAAAAAAATCATAAATCGAACGGTAATATTCCGGTATGTATTTATATCCAAACACCAGATTTAAAAAACGATTAGAGGTGTGGTCGATCATTATGACACGGACTTTCTAATTTAACACTGTGTGAATTGCGTAGAATTTAATTAAATCAAGCATTTCTATCTGTTATTAGAACTATCTGTTAATGGTGATTATTTAAAAAAAAAAACCTGCATTTTCATAGTCTTTATCTTTATATTCGGTCCACTTTTACACAACGGTTACAGAAATCTTATATATCAGCAAGGGCAGGACGATTTACCCGATACTGCCCATAACACCTGTAACTATAGCTCAGAGCAACGAGGGAGACGGGAAGTGTTCGCAGGGGCAGGGGTGCTGTAAAATTAACGGACAATGTATATCTATGATCGACAATATTTTCACAGGGGGGGGGGGGGACTTAAAAACTAACATGATACTTCATACCTCAATAAAATTATATATAAACAAATATTGCAAATTGAGTTGATTCGTGGAAAACATGCAAATAAATGTACGACAAAGGTGATTGTCAAGGTCTAATCTCCCTTGTTTACCCAATACTTCCAAATATTAACCCATGCTATTAAAAGTTCAATCCTTTTCTGTAAAATAATGGGCCAATATTACAAAAAATTAGATAAAAGCACAATTATTTGGATAAAAAATTGTTTGTTTGTGGAAAATAAATTATTTATTCAATGTTTAGCCGTTCCATTTATCACTAATACTATAAATATATATTTCAATTGTTTGCACTTTTGCTGGTAATTAAATCATTGATATTGAAGTAAATGGAGAATTCTGTCAGTTTGAAATAATAAGGCATTATAATGTGGGTTATTTTGCACTATTGGGTTAGAATTGGGAGACATTTGGCAATATTTGGCTAGTCTTTCAGACGCTTGAGCTACCAAATTAACAATTTCTTTTGTGTACAATTATTCAACAACTGTAATAGTGTCTTACAATGATGAAGTAGTGTGTTATGGTATTTGGCAATCTGTTTCACAATCTGATTAAAATACAGATCTATACAGTTTGTATTTCGTTTCGATTTTTATACTTTCGATGACCTACACTACATGAAGATCTAACAAGTTATAGGGGAGTTCACGTCAGGGGTCAAACGAGCGGGTTTTGACTCTATGACGTCAGACATTGATTAATCAATCAGCGTTGACGTTTCTAGTGGTTTACCCACAGTTCCGTGCATTAAAAGGCCAAGAACTCGCCGTAACAGACCGTTTCATTGGTTAATCCCTCACATCATTGAGAACACACCAATGATAACAACTCTTCCAGAAACTAGCGTAGTAAAGACAAGTAAAACGAAATTTTGAACTATAAAAACGAAACGAAATAGGATCTGCGTTTTAATCAGATTGTCTGTTTCACAGAATATTACAAAAGTCTTCTAATATCTCTGTAAAAGATGACTGCCTTCAACACGTGACGTCATATCACGCGGCTTCAATCATTGGCTCAATGGCGCGTGCATTGTTTACAGAAGACGTGACTGGTTCGGGCAGATTGGCGCCTTTTACTCATTTTAATACCCATTTACACTAAATAGGAAATAATTTTTACCTACAAATACTTTAAACGTCTATTTATTTTTCTAATATATAAAAACATGTTTAAGAATTTAATTTGTCGGAGGATAAAAGTTGATATTTGTGACTCATTAAGTCGCATCGGTGTCATCCTTATCAGTGATTGTAGCGGCCTAGCGAATATTCACTGCTGGTCAGTGTGTGTATTTGGTAGTATTTATATACTTAGTATTGGATGGTATTGAGTAGTATTAGGTTATAGTATTTTGTAAATCGTTCTTCCGTATCAACAGGGTCTCGTCTTAAAATCCATATTAGATAAGACCGCCATTAAAGAAATCAACCCTCACTGTTCTTTACTAGCAAATAGTAATGGATGCCTGTGCGATAATGATGGGATTATTTTGTCAATTACGGATCATCGTGACGTCATTTGATCCCAGAACAGTCTTAACTCTGTTAAAGTTTCCCAAATCAATTTGTGTTACAAACAATCTTTCCCACGCAAATATAAAAATGAATATCCTATTTATCACAACAAAAATTTATCGAATTCTTACTGGTAAAGAAATAGTGGTTTTGCTTAGTATAGAGACCAATTTTAGTCTGCTTACTTTGGTTACTTTTCTATACGCCCACTTTGAAATATGGCCATACATTGTCGTCACCCATGTCCTCTGTCAA